ATGAGTTTTCTATATATTAAAAAAATTTTTTTTAGAAGTATGTTCTTCAAATATATTTCATAAAAAGTAATTTTAACATATATCTTTACACATATTTGTAAATGCATTCCAAAAATGTAGATTTGTATTTTTAAAGACATACAGTATTTTTAAAAATATTTTTCATATATTTTGTAATAAAAATGCATTTAAACATGCAGTATATATATATATATATATATATATATATATATATATATATATATATTGGAATATATATTGGAATATATTTTTGAATATGGCCAAAATTGTAGCATTTCAAATATATAGCAAAATATTTGGGAAGAATATTTTTAAAATATATTTAAAATATATTTTTCTTCCATGTGGGAAAGATCAATATATATGCCCATTCTGAAGCTGCTGCACTCCGGTCTCCAGCAACGGCTGTCAACTGCTGGGAAATGCCTGGGAGATGACCTCACCCATAGACTTACTATGGGGCGTCCATTGTCAGCTGCCCATTCTGCACACAGAAGCTGCTGCTGACAGCTGAGTCTGGAACCGGACCGGAGCCGCTTCAGAATAGGTAAGGCTACGTTCACACTAGCCTTGTGTGCAGGCGGCAGAGAGGCGTTTGGGAAGCGTTTTTACTGCTTCCCAAACGCCTCTGCCAATTCTGCACATTACAGCACATGGTGCTGTTCTAACAGGAGCGTTTGCGTCGCGTCGCGGCAAAACGGACGCCTCTGGTCGAGTCAGGAGGCTTTGAAGCCTCCTATTCTCGTCTATGGTGCCGCTCCGCAAACGCCCGGCCGGCGCGGTTGCGGAGCGGTAACACCACTCAAATGCATTATAGGCGTTTGTGGGGCGTTATTAACGCTCGGCAAATGCCTAGCAACCGCCGCTAAACCGCGCATGCGGCGTTTGCGGAGCATTTGCCGAGCGTTAAAAACGCTCTGCAAACACCGGACCAACGCTTGCCAAACGCTATAGGGGCGTTTGGCAAGGGTTGGCAAAACAGCCTAGTGTGAACGAGCCCTAAGTGTCGCAAACTTTTTCAGGGTTAGATAGACTGGGCCAGGGGTGGACTGACAACTCATGGGGCCCCCGGGCAATAGGGGATCATGGGGCCCCTGTGTCCTTGCCCAAACTCAAAAAAGCCTATGAAAAAGGTACCAAGGACATCTCATGGGGCCCCCTACTGACCCCGGGCCCTCGGGCAGTGCCCGAGTTTCCAAATGGTCAGTCCGCCCCTGGATTGGGCTTAGAATGAGGGTGGGAGTAGGTTTACCGTTAGATAGATAATGATTGGAATTCCACTTTAAATTTTTCCGCTTTTATTTGTTTTGTTTGTTATTTTTTTTTCATTAATTAATGGATTAACCACTTCCAGTCCGGAAACTTTCCCCCCCTTCCAGTCCGGACGCTTTCACCCACTTCCTGTCCAGGCCAATTTTTCAGCTTTCAGCGCTATTACACTTTGAATGACAATTGCGCGGTCATGCAGCACTGTACCCATATGAATTTTTAGCATTTTTTTGAGACAGATAAAACTTTATTTTGGTGGTATTTATTCGCCACTGGGATCTTTATTTATTTATTTTTTGCTATATAAATGAAAAAGTCCAAACGTTTTTGAAAAAAAGTGTTTTTCTTATAAAATTTTGCAAATAAATAATCTTTCTTCATAAATCTTGGCCAAAATGTATTCAGTTATCTTTTTAGTAAAAAAAAATAATCCAAATTAGTTTTTAACCAAAAATTATAATTTTTATTTTTTTTTTTTACATTTTATTGTATTTTTTTATATTATTATTTGTTTTGTTTTTTACATACATTTTTTTACATAGTGTCACGTTAGCAGTACAGTGTCACCATAGTGGGTGTGAAAGCAATCAGTATAAAAAAAAAAAAAAAAAATCTTCATAACCCCCCACAAGTAGTACAGTGTCACCATTGTGACACTGTACTACTTGTGGGGGGGGTCACCATTGTGACACTGTACTACTTGTGGGGGGTGATGAAGATTTTTTTTTTACACCAATAAAGGCTGTAAAGCAATCATTTCTCCTTCTCTCTGGCTGAATTCTTGCAGCCATTGAGAACTACTGTGGGAGCTGTGATTTGTCACAGCTTGTCACATGGTACAAGGCTGTTGTGAATAGCCTTGTACCATGTGACCTCAGTAATCATTCACAAATTTCACAAGTAGTAAGCAATGATGTCAGAAGTGATATCTTGCTTACTCCTATTCATGTGATCACTGATTGGCCAATCAGTGATCACATGATCGGGACCTCACACAGAGGTCCTGTACAACGATCAGTGTTCCACTGTGTCCGGAGGACACAGCGGGCACCGGTTCACGGTGCTGCGTGCTCCCAGGGAGATCGCACCAGCAGGGGGCGGAGAGGCCGTTTATAAATGGCCACCCGCCCCTGCACTGCTCCCCTCTAGCCGTTTATGTACATGGGTCGGACAGGAAGTGGTTAATGTCTAAACCGTTGGCAACAAAAGTGAGTACACCCCTAAGTGACAAGGTCCAAATTGGGCCCAATTAGCCATTTTCCCTCCCAGATGTCATGTGACTCATTAGTGCTACAAGGTCTCAGGTGTGAATGGGGGAGCAGGTGTGTTACATTTGGTGTTATCACTCTCTCATACTGGTCACTGGAAGTTCAACATGGCACCTCATGGCAAAGAACTGTCTGAGGATCTGAAAAACAGAATTGTTGCTCTACATAAAGGTGGCCTAGGCTATAAGAAGATTGCCAAGACCCTGAACCTGAGCTGCAGCACAGTGGCCAAGACTATACAGCGGTGTAACAGGACAGGTTCCACTCAGAATAGGCCTCGCTATGGTCGACCAAAGCAGTTGAGTACACGCGTTCAGCGTCATATCCAGAGGTTGTCTTTGGGAAATAGATGTATGAGTGCTGCTAGCATTGCTTCAGAGTTTGAAGGGGTGGTGGGTCAGCCTGTCAGTGCTCAGACCATACGCCGCACACTGCATCAAATTGGTCTGCATGGCTGTCATCCCAGAAGGAAGCCTCTTCTAAAGATGATGCACAAGAAAGCCCGCAAACAGTTTGCTGAAGATAAGCAGACTAAGGACATGGACTACTGGAACCATGTCCTGTGGTCTGATGACACCAAGATCAACTGATTTGGTTCAGATGGTGTCAAGCGTGTGGTGGCAACCAGGTGCGGAGTACAAAGACAAGTGTGTCTTGCCTACAGTCAATCATGGTGGTGGGAGTCTCATGGTCTGGGGCTGCATGATTGCTGCCGGCACTGGGGGGCTACAGTTCATTGAGGGAACCATGAATGCCAACATGTACTGTGACATACTGAAGCAGAGCATTATCCCCTCCCTCCAGAGAGTGGGCCGCAGGGCAGTATTCCAACATGATAACGACCCCAAACACACCTCCAAGACCACCGCTGTATTGCTAAAGAAGTTGAGGGTAAAGGTGATGGACTGGCCAAGCATGTCTCCAGACCTAAACCATATTGAGCATCTGTGGGGCATCCTCAAACGGAAGGTGGAGGAGCGCAAGGTCTCTAACATCCACCAGCTCTGTGATGTTGTCATGGAGGAGTGGAAGAGCACTCCAGTGGCAACCTGTGAAGCTCTGGTGAACTCCATGCCCAAGAGGATTAAAGCAGTGCTGGAAAATAATGGTGGTCACACAAAATATTGAAACTTTGGGCCCAATGTGGACCTTGTCACTTAGGGGTGGACTCACTTTTGTTGCCAGTGGTTTAGACATTAATGGCTGTGTGGTGAGTTATTTTGATGGGGGACAGCAAATTTACATGTTATAAAAAACTGTACACTGACTATGTCACATTGTAGCAAAGTGTCATTTCTTCAGTGTTGTCACATGAAAAGATAGAATCAAATATTTACAAAAATGTGAGGGGTGGACTCACTTCTGGGAGATATTGTATATACTGTATATATAGTACATTCGCATCAGTACCTAACCCACAAGGAGCTTACAATCTAAGGTCCCTAACTCACATTCATACATACACAGGAGTCAATTTACCCACCAGAAATGTCTTTAGAGTGTGGGAGGAAACCGAAGTACCCGGAGTAAACCCACGTAGGCACAGGGAGAACATACAAACTCCATGCAGGTAGTGCCGTGGTTGGGATTCATACCAATGACCCTAGTGCTAAGCCATTGTGCTGCCGGGTAGCTTCCAGTTTCTTAGACCATAGAGATGATCGTGGATGTTAACTGGATATAACATTTATAGGGAAAATTGATCCAGGGAATATTCTATTGCCTCTCGGGGGATCATGAAGGAATTTTTCCCCTACAGGAGCAAATTGGATCATGCTTTGCTGGGTTTTTTTGCCTTCTTCTGGATCAACTGTGGGTGTAGGATTATAGCTTTTTTTATGGTTGGACTGGATGGACTTTTGTCTTTTTTCAGCCAGACTAACTATGTAACTATGAATGTTCCCGGTGGGACGGGGAGAGCCCGGTAAGGTAGCAGAAGGCCAGTAGGATCACTTTTACAAAAAAAAAAGCATACCGCCAGCTGAAAACAACAACATCAGGATGATGCATCGCATATGATAGACGGGTATGCCGTTCCTTCAGAACGCATGCGCCTGTGATGCTGCTGGCTGCTGCTCTGTAGAGTATCTCCTGAACGTTGAATCTTTAGGAGCTATTCATTGGACCGACAGGGAAGCTTTATTATGGGCTTGCCTGTCGGCAAAAATATAAAACGAGAGTTTACTACCACTTTATCTATAATAAATGCTGTATTTATACAACTTATTTTCTTTTATTACACAGGGACCCCAACCTTCCAATAGACTGCCTGGTAAAACCTTACTTGATATAGAATGTTGGGTAACAAGACCATCACAGAAATTTCTCTTCTTGGTTTTAGGAGTTGCGGACCTTGCAATGCCATATTTTTTGCTTTGTTTCTCGTGGCGTATTTAATTACTTTAGCCGGTGATTTCCTCATTATTACTCTTGTCTCTACAAGCCAACGGCTACAATCCCCCATGTTTTACTTCCTCAAACATCTTTCCATCTCAGAAATCTTGTTTACCACCAATATTACCCCTAACATGCTTCACGTCTTGCTGAGAAACAGTAGCACCATGTCTCTCACCGGATGCATTGTCCAGTTCTACGTCTACATTGCCTCGGGAAGTGTAGAGTCTGCTCTTCTTACAATAATGTCCTATGATCGGTACACGGCTATCTGTAACCCTTGAGATATGCAGATATAATGAACCTCCAACTATGCCGGACTTTTGTTTCTGTCACTTGGTTCCTTTGTTTTTCAGTTGTCCTCATAACCGTAAGTCTTCTATGCCAGCTGGAATTCTGTGGGCCCAACACCATCGACCATTTCTTTTGTGACTTTGATCCTCTCGTGGACCTTTCTTGTTCAGACACCTTCGTGGTGAGAACAGAAGTTGTCATACTCTCCATCCCTGTGGTGGCCTCTTCATTTTCGTTCATTATCTGGACGTACATGTATATTTTTATCACCATCTTCAGGATCTCCTCTTCTGCCGGAAGGCAAAAGGCTTTTTCCACTTGTAGCTCACACTTGGCTTCAGTATTTTCGTATTATGGTCCTCTGATTGTAATATATATGGTACCTTACCAAAGAAACTCCCTGAATACAAACAAGTTCCTATCAGTACTGTATACTGTGCTGACCCCATTGTTTAACCCATTAATTTACAGCTTGAGAAATGAAGAACTTCGTCTCGTCTTATGGAAATGTTTGAGACTCAAAAAAACAGTGAAGGTGCCTAATAGTGCATCATGAAGGTCATAGGAACCCATCACATCCCATCAAAACCATAGGAACCCATCACATCCCATCAAAACCATAGGAACCCATCACATCCCATCAAAACCATAGGAACCCAGCACATCCCATCAAAACCATAGGAACCCATCACATCCCATCAAAACCACAGGAACCCATCATATCCCATCAAAACCATAGGAACCCATAGGAACCCATCACATCCCATCAAAACCATAGGAACCCATAGGAACCCATCACATCCCATCAAAGCCATAGGAACCCACAGGAACCCATCACATCCCATCAAAACCATAGGAACCCATCACATCCCATCAAAACCATAGGAACCCATCATATCCCATCAAAACCATAGGAACCCATCACATCCCATCAAAACCACAGGAACCCATCACATCCCATCAAAAACCATAGGAACCCATCACATCCCATCAAAACTATAGGAACCCATCACATCCCATCAAAACCATAGGAACCCATCACATCCCATCAAAACCATCGGAACCCATAGGAACCCATCACATCCCATCAAAGCCATAGGAACCCACAGGAACCCATCACATCCCATCAAAACCATAGGAACCCATCACATCCCATCAAAACCATAGGAACCCATCCCATCCCATCAAAACCATAGGTACCCATCACATCCCATCAAAACCATTCAATTTGTATGCTTTATCCATGATTTTATGGAGTTTCTTCCTGGCATGTTTCACAAACCAAAGACTAACTGGTAGGCTGAGTAGTTTCATATACATTGACCCAAGAGCCCTAATGTTTAACCTGGGGCCTGGGAGCCCCTATTAGTCCTTTGGTGCTTACTGTGCAGTCTTCAGGTACAGCTTCAAGTACTGGAAGTGGAACCATTGAAATGTAAAGTGATTGTAATGGCAGAGATCTCTAGCCATTTCATGTAACTGTCCACCATCTCTTTCTTTTTTTTTTTGTAGTCTCTGATGTATTTTTAACAACATGAAGAATATTTGAAATGTATTTTTAAAAATAATTTTCATATATCTTGTAATAAAAATGCATTTCAACATACAGTGTGTATATGTATATATATATATATATATATATATATATATATATATATATATATTTATTTATTTATTGAAATATATTTTGAAATATATTGAATATGGCCAAAAGTGTAGCATTTCAAATATACAGTATGGCAATTTATTTGGGAAGAATATTTTTAAAATATATTTCAAATATATTTTTCTTCCATATGGGTATGCAGCACACTGGGGATGTCAAAGGCCACAGTTAAAGTAGAACCAAAGCCAAGACGTTTTTTTTCTTGTTTCAGATAGAATGTAGAGTGATTATATTAGATTAGAGGTATTTATTGCTGTCTGTGCCCTCATTAGGGAGATTCACCCTTTTTATTTGTCTTTTTTACCATTATTATCAATTACTGAACTGAGTTTGGGATGCCCCATGCAGCCCTGGTGGACAATTCAAGTGGCCATGCTGAGAAACATTCTGGGTGCATAACCCACTCACTATCAGTAAATTGGTCCAAAGCAATGATATGATAGGGTGAAAAAAAAAAAAAACAAAACTTTAGTTTATTAAATAAAAAAATGAAAATTTAATATTATACCCAGAGTTCTTCCAACTAAAGTAGAAATATTTTTTTATTTTCTTTGGATTTCCAAATTTCCATTTATCATCTCCAAGCTCCAGGACTGTCCCCAGCTTCCTCCTCTGTTCCGCGATTACAGTCCTCTTTACAGGAAGTGCCTGCACACTAAATGGCAGGGTCAGGGGTTTTTTTTTTTTTTTAATTTCCATTTTTATAGTTGTACACAGAATTTGACACATACATATGTAAGTGAGAAATCATAAACATCAGGAACAAATGACCATAAGAAACTGCCTCGGTATTGAGGCACGCACATATACAGTAGATGAATAAACAGTAAGGCCCCATTCACACCTAAGCAATGTGTAGCTCGAAGCTGCAAAACGCTTGAGGAGAAAAAAATCTATTATTTTCAACAGAGATGGTTCACATTTCCACTCCAGGTCGCATGGAGCCAAATGCCTGAAGCACTTTCTTGCACATTTTGTTGTGTGTTTTTCTGCTCAAATGTAAAAATGTAAAAAAAAGGAAATAAATATATAAATACATCAAATAAAATGTAATAATGAATAAATAATGACCTTAACCCCCAGCTACTGTTACTACTACTACTACTACTAGTACTTAAAATTTTCCAAAAAATATGACAAAAAAATTACAACTTCAAAAAACTCGCCATGCCTCTTATGAAATACGTTGGACTGTCCACTTTGCAAAATGGGTCATTTGGGGGATATCTGTACTTTTCTGACATTTTTGCACCTCAAGAAATTAGATTGGTTGTCACTTCAGGATTGATCAATATTCAGATCTATACCATAGTTTGTGAACTCTATAACTTTCCTACAGACTAAATAATAAATACTGATTTGGGTTATTTTCACCAAAGACATGTAGCAGAATACATCTCGGCCTAAATTTATGAAGAACAATTATTTATTTGCAAACTTTTATAACAGAAACAAAAGAAAAAACTTGTTCTTTTTTCAAAATTTTCAGTCTTTTTTTGTTAATTTTGTAAAAAATTAAAACCCCAGCGGTGATTAAATACCACCAAAAGAAAGCTCTAGTTGTTTTTAACAAAATGATAAAAACTTTAGTTTGGGTACAGTGTTGCATGGCCGCGCAATTGTCATTCAAAGTGTGAGAGCGCTGAAACCTGATAATTGGCCACGGCAGGAAGGGGGTGAAAGTGCCCGGTATGGAATTGGTTAATAAAAGAGGGCAAGGAAGCTCTTAAAAGAAGAAGTTGGTGAATAGCTGCGCCTTCAATGCTCCTACCACTCATACCACTTGAAGCGAATCCCACACTACAATAAAACCAGAACACAGTGGGGAGAGTCGCATAACAAATATTCCTACCCTGAGAAAGAGACACTGACACTAGCCAACCATAAAGGTAGGAATCCAAAATGTCTGACAATGGCCATCAGTGCTCCAAAGCCCAAATGAAAGTCAACAAAAAAGCAATTACAAAGTTACTATTAAAACAATATAAAACCACTTCCCGTCCGGCCCATGTATATAAATGGCCAGGCGGGAGCAGTGCAGGGGCGGGTGGCAATTTATAAACATCCTCCCCACTCCCCGCCTGTGTGTGGCACTGCGATCCGGTGACCGCTGTGTCTGGAGGACACACCAATCGCTGTATAGGACCTCTGTGCGAGGTCCCGATCATGTGATCACTGATTGGCCAATCAGTGATCCCATGAATAGTAGAGTAAGTAAGATGTCACTTCCTGACATCATTGCTTACTACGTGTGAAATCTGTGAATGATCACAGAGGTCACATGGTACAGGGCTATTCACAACAGCCCTTTACCAAGTGACAAGCTGTGACCAATCACAGTTCACACAGTATTTCTCAATGGCTGCAAGAATGCAGCCAGAGGGAAGGAGAAATGATTGCTTTTACAGCCTTTATGGATGTAACAGCAATCAGTGTAAAAAAAAAATAATAATTTATGGAGAAAAATCATTTATTTACAAAATGTTATTTTTCAAAATTTTTTTTTCAAAATGTTTGGAGTTTTTCATTTATATAGCAGAAAAATAAAAATCCCAGTGGTGAATAAATACCACCAAAATAAAGTTTTATCTGTCTCAAACAAATGCTAAAAAATTCATATGGGTACAGTGTTGCATGACCGCGCAATTGTCATTCAAAGTGTGATAGCGCTGAAAGCTGAAAATTGGCCTGGGGGCAGGAAGGGGGTAAAAGTGTCCGGACTTGAAGTGGTTAAAGTGAATCTAAAATTTTTTGGGTGAAGGGAATGTTTTTTGCAGTCTCTGTATACACAACCACTCTTTTTTTGAAAATTGGGGTAAATCTAGACTTTTTAGTCACCAAAACAGAAATAGAGGGGAAATCTTCCAGTGGGGATTTCTGTTTTTCGGGGGGATTTTCCTCACTAGATCTCTACACACTTTCCGCTGCTCCTAAAGACAGGAAGTGAAGAAATATTTCTGCAGTGAACAGAGGCAGCAAATAAAACCCCCTCAAAGTGCCACTATAGCTAGAGAGGAGAGGCGCTGTGCACAGCTGCATCTCTTCTCCCCTCTCTTCTTCACACAGGGACTTGAACAGAAGCAGGAGCCATTGGCTTTTGCTGCTGTCAATCAAATTCAGTGAGGAGGAAGTGGGGGCATGTGTGTCTATGGAGTAAAGTTGATCCAAAGAATATCCAATTGTCTCTCAGGGGATCAGGAAGGAATTTTTTCCCCTACAGGAGCAAATTGGATCATGCTTTGCTGCGTTTTCTTGC